AAAGAAACACAGGAAGGGGTGGACATAAGAAGAAGTAGCAAGATAGCCATGCTCATGAGAGTTTATTGGAGAGTAAGAAAGAATTGTGTCTTCATTTCTTACTTGAGTGATTTGCTTCTAAAGCAGTCACACAATTATAAATTTTCTCACCACTAAAAAGACTCATATGTAGTTGAGATTTCCAAGGCATTTGTTAGACATAAATCACTGGGCAATTGTGTCAAAGCAGATCTGGCTGTGGTCATCCTTATCATGGTTCATCATGTAAGTATGCAGGGATACACTATACCCTGACTCCATCTGTTCACTCATCATCTCTGTCTATGAGTTCAGCATGAATGAAGCATGGGTCAGGCCTCAGGTTGGGGTGGGAGGGTGGTGAAGGACTGGAGGGTAAGTCTTCTGCCTTTGTTGAACTCACATGCTTGAACTCTGTCTTCAGTGAATCACAAATGTGGTTCTTGTAATTCCATAGAGAACACTTTCTTTTCTTATCCAAAGTCATATTTGTGTGTATATCTTTGCGGGGCCTTTTTTATTTTGGTCTATCTTTCTTAAATTTCTAGGCATCATGGAATTCTAGTACTCTTGAGAAAATAGGAAGAACCCTTGTACAGTCCATAACTATTGGATTTTTTGGACTTTTCCAGTTTTATCTCAGGGCCTGCCATGTTGTTAGCATCCAGGAAGGCTTTCCAGTAGAAACGGTCTTCACTACACATTGAACTAAAGGGATCAATGGCCACAAGTGACACAGTACACATCCCAGAAGAGCTTCCCTTTGGCAGCCTTCCATGCCTCTGTTTCCTCTGTGAACCTTATACCAGGCGTCCCCAGCGGCCAGTCTCCTTTGTACTCAGCAACAGGCACTTACCTCTGCAAAGATGGCTCCTGAGCAGACTAGAGATGGGTCTTTCTAGATATTTCGGCCTTGCTAATCTGAACTTTGCCTGTGCCTCAGCCCAGAGACTCATTTACTGAAATTTTAACCCCTAGTGTGGTTGTATCTGTACTAAGAAAGGAATTAAGACTAGCTGAGGTTGTGAAGGTGGGCCCTAATACCAGAATTAGGGCCCTTAGAAGGCAGAAGAGCTAAGGATCTCTTACAAGTGGTAACGTGGACCATCGAGTCATCCTCATGAGCATGAGTCCTCCACTTTCTTCCACTGAAAGGCTGACAAGCTGGGTTGTAACCCCAAGAAAGCCAACTTGCAGGTGAGAGGCATGTCAGGATCTCTGTGTTCTAACTGTTGTGTGTTCTAACTGTTGTGACAGTCTGTCAGGACGTTTCCCTCTTGAAGCTTAAGCACATTCGACTACTTTAAGATTGGAGGGTAGGGGTGGCTGAAAGTGGTTGTGGTAGTTGGGATAAGAGTGGACCAAATTATATGGGCTCATATATTGAATGCTTCGTCACCAGGGGGTGGCACTATTTAAAAGGATTAGAAGGATTAGGGGGCATGACCTTGTTGGAGGAAGACTCTGAGGTTTGTTGGGGGGTGGATTTTGAAGTTTTAAAAGTGGATGACAAGCCCAGAGTCTGTCTCTGTCTCTGTCTCTGTCTCTGTCTCTCTCTCTCTCTCATCTATCTATCTATCTATCTATCTATCTATCTATCTATCTATCTATCTATCTGTCTGTCTATCTATCTATCTATCTATCTATCATCTATCTATCTATCTATCTATCTATCTATCTATCTATCTATCTATCTAATCTCTTTCTCTTACTTTCCCTCTTTCCCTCTCTCTGTCTGCCTATGGATCAGGATGTAGCTCTCAGCTACTGCTCTAGCACCTGCCTGCATGCCACCATGCTCCTAGTCACAATGGTAATGGCCTAAACCTCTGAAACTGTAGTCGGGGTTCCAATAATGTATTTTCTTTTATAAGAGTTGCTGTGGTCAATAATGGGTTTCTTCATCGCAATCAAATATTTACTAAGACAGTGTTGATGTCTGAGAGTCATTTGGACACCCTGTCTCCTCTCGGGACCTTTGGCTCTGCAGCTGAAGGACAAGGGTGTCATTTCACAGTGCTAGGGCATGGAATAGTTGACCCACCCAAGGAGTAGGCACATCTTCCATATGGGGGAGAGACAGTGAAATGTACCTATACGTTCCCACAGCTTTACAACCTATTCCCAGGCACTTCTTAGCTCTCACAGCCTGAGACCTTGGGCATGGGGATTTGAGGAGGTCTGCACAGCAAGCCTCTCTTGACTGCTTGGTGCTCAAGGTGGGGCAGAGGGTCACTGTCTCCAACAGAAACAAGAATGTGTACACAGAGTTATCTCATGTCCCCACACATTCAAGAACAGGGAGGGGCATTGCCTAGCTTGAGGACAAAGACATTAAAGAATTCATGGCTTGCCAGTGCCATGCCAAATGTGGTAAGGAGGAACTCAAACGCAGGAAGGACTGAGGGATGGGTCACAAACAGCAGCTCAGAATTCACTTGGCTGATGGACATTTACAACACCCCTCAGGTTCAGTTAGCTTCATTTTCTTCTTCCAGGTTGGAGGTCAGAGTCACTCCCTCCATGTCTGCTTTCCAGGGTAAATGAACTGTGTTGAAATGTATGTCTGGAATGAGTTTGAGGGCAACCTTGTCTGCGAAGGCGTTCTAGGCCAGCCAAGGCTGTATGATAAGAACCTGTTTAAAAAAAAAATCTTTACAGAAAGAAATGGTACTTAATAGTCAGTACACAGCCCCAGACCTCTCTCCTCTGTTTTCTAGTGGCTGAAAACGAAGCTTCTGCATCAGATGGCTCCCCCTATCTCCCCCGGGTATGGCCCACTAACTGACTCCGGACACCTGGGTATGCCTGGACCTGTTAGAGTTTCTCTTTTTCTGTATATGAATCTGCAATGACAGTTATGTTCCCAAGTGCTGGGAACATTAGGAGATCATGTGTGTGAAACCCACCAGGCTGGGCAGAAACTAGCCCTCTGTGGATGGATGACATCAGCAGCTTCCGTTATGCACAAGGAGACGTTGGTGAAAGTGGGCTCCGAGCCCCTCTGCAGCTACTCTGTTGAAAAGCAACTGAGTGTGTGGACTGCAGTGAAGGGATCTAGGGAGCAGAGGAGGCATTCTGGTGGGGAGCGTGTTCCGTCAGGCCACACAGCCCTCAACACCAGCCTGAGAAGGAGCTGAGCCTACCAGCCAGGGACATCCTGCCATTTTGAAGACTGTCAATAATGGTACCAGATTTACACATTCTTACCAACAGGAGCAGGCTTTATCCTGAGACAAGATCATAAATCCTTTCCAAGATCATTACAAGCAATTTATACATTACTAATTAATCACCCTGACGTCATAGGAAGCATGTGTCACCTTTATGGTAAACGTGTAAGCAGCTGAAACTCGGGAACCAGAGGAGGAAGGTAAATAAGTGGACACCGCAGAAGCGTCTCTCCTGCTATTATCTGTACTGAACGCCATTGAGACAGGATTAATGTATATCAAATGCTAATTTCTTTTTTTTCCTGTTGAACTGTTTTTCCTGGAGATCTTGTTACAGCAAGCATGTAGCAGCCCTCCCAGCAGGGCCAAGAAAGGAGCCTCCAGCTTTAATCCCAGCCTGAGTGGCACCCACCAAAGCTCTAAATAATTTAACAAAAGACTAACCTTCTAACAGCGCAGGAGTGACACACAGAAGCAGCCTTCAAACAGGTGAGGAGCCACCCCAGGCGGACAGGCTCCCAAGCCCCCCTCTCCCGATCGGGATGCACTCCCACCTCCTCCCATTCCACCGCTTTCTGTCAGAAAACAACAATCCCAGCGGTTCTAGGGTCCCCCAGAAGGAGTTTGTTTATAATTAAAATATTGGGGCTGAAAGAGAATCTGGGGTCAACGAAGGGAAATGGTGCCTGGGGCTCCCTTGTATTCCCTCACTGGGGGACTGGAGCCGTTTGTGTAGGTCACACTCATGCGGGCAAGCCCCAGGTAGTGTCGGGAGTACAGCAGTGTGGAAGGGGTTCCAGGTTAGACCCAGAGGTACGGTGTTTCCTAGGCCGGGCTTGGGTTCGCTTACTGGCAAAGTTCTTCCTTTGTGTGTGGGGTCTGTCGGGGAGCAGGTGGACAAAGCCACATGATGCCTGCCCTCCTAGAGTCTGTGAACTATGGAGTGTAAGGGAGAAAGCCGTAATGTCAAAAGCAGACAGGCACAGGGGCTTCATTTCCGAATGTAATGTGAGAAACCAAAGGCAGCGTGGTCTGGGGGCACAGAAGACATACTTGAGGAAAAGCACCAAAGCAGACCTCACGGAGAAGGGGACAAGGGACAGACTTGGGAGCAGGGAGCCACTTCTCCAAGAAGCAAGATTCACCCTGACCCAGGTGGCCCTTTCTCCGTGACTTCTGGTACCTTCCTGAGACTGTCTCACTGCCTGCGTGGGAAGGGCAGGAAGAAGTGGCCACTCTGGCACAATGAGCCTTTTCCTTATTATTTTCAAAAGCACCATCATCTTGGCTGATAACTTCAAAACACTTACAGAAATATAAGAAAGCCTGAAATTTATGAAAACAAATGGAAGGTTTATAAATCTGTGCTTAGAAAAGCAGCCCATTCTGTGTAATAACAGAGACACTAGTTTGGTATATCCAATATTGTTTGGACAAGATTCAGTTCTATTTTTAGGAGATTTCAATTTCCTTTCCCATAAACCCTATGAAATATAGTGTGTGGCATATTTATAGTGACCCTTTTAGGGAGTGCTACACTTTTGGACCCTTTAATAAGCCTAAATGAGATGGTCTCCCCCTCACCTCACTGAGAAAATAAATAGATGGCCATGACAATCACGGATTAGACTGAGGTTCCCTTTTCCCCCATTTAACACATCTCACACCCTCCAGTCCCACTCACAAAGGCTCTCCAAAGATGGGGACAAAGCAGTAAAAGACAAAACTCAAGGCCGTCTGGTGGCTCCATTCGATTTATTTCATTGACAGGACTTATAAATAAGAAAGCATAATTTCTGAAGGCAATCGTGAAATGTTCTATGCAAATGACAAGCCCGAGCTCCCACTGGCCCTTTCTCCTCCCGGTTTCCGTGAGGGGCCTCCTCCAGTCCTGGCCACTTTACAGCACTGTGCTTTTTCAAAAGCACTCTGCAAAACTTAACCAGTTTGTTCTCAGGGAGAGAAGGTAGCAGGTTCACAGCATTGAAACGAGAGTAGCTAGCTGGAGCTTTTCCACGTGGGACAAAAAATGATGCCATCTGACTCCCTCTGTTGGTATATGTTTAGTGCCATCCCCTTGCATCTTTCTGGATCCTTCCATTTCTTAGAAAGCAACTGTGAAGGAGAGGAGTTCCACATTCTCCACAGGAAACAGCAGCAGCGCCTTCCTGACAAGAGGAAGGGCTGAGGCTGAAGCTCTGGAAGGAAGCAGGGGCTGGCTGGAGGGGCCTGCCCTAATGGTGCCCCTGGGACACAGATTTGGTGTTCAGTCAGTCTGTGCACATCACAGACACTGCATTCTTCCTATCTCATGCGCTCTGTGATTTACAGGACTTTACTCTTTATCGGCTTCTTATCTCTAAGTCAGAACTCTCTCTGCTACTTGGTTTTGAATCCTTTTCCCAAAAAGGTCATGGCACATGGAGGACACTTAAACACTCACAGATTCAATGTCCCTGATGACCGCTCTGCTTGGCACATAAGGCATGGGCACAGGCGACGTGAGCCTGCATTTTGACAGCAGTAGACATCCAGGAATCCATCACACACACACACACACACACACACACACACACACACACACACACACACACACACACACACACACACTGTGACCTGCAGTTACAGTGTCACCTGTGGGCACTTTAGGATCACGGAGAGATCCAAGAAGTGCTTTGGAGTAGCAAATGGGAAGGCCTGAGTGACAAGATCCTTCTGGGACCAGACCTCTCAAGGAGCTGAGAATGTGGGAACTCAGAGAAAAGGAGCAAGGAGAACAAGCATCCTCTTCCCCAGCCACCAGGACGAGTCTCTTCTAAGAGCAAGTGGTATTGCTGAAGTGTGTAGCCAGTGCTCCTCGGGGACACAGTCATTTGCTCAGCTGAGTAGGGTTAAGGGCTGAGCTCAGACGGCTCTCAAACATCAGTGGGAGCTCTGAAACCTCAAAGACAGATGGTTTCAGTCACTTGCATTTCTAGAGAGGCAGAATATCATGATGCCGCAGGAGGTGAAGTGTAGGAGTGCTGGGCTGCACCCCAAGATCCTGCAGTAAAATGTCAGTCACCAGGAAGTCCAGCAGGAGAGACACACAATTGGCTGAGTTTGTTTCAGCGTTTTCCATTCTGTCAGTCTCAAGTAGTCCGTCAGCCTTTCTGAGCTCCAGGGTGTCTGGGAGGCACTGCTGGTGTCAGGTGCCCATGGGTCAGGTGCATTCCAGGGAAGCTGTCCATCGGTTAATGTGCCTATGAGAGCTGTCAGCACCTTGCCATTTAGGATATGTGACACTAATTACCCACCTCCTTTCTCTCCCCCACCAGGATTCTCCGAACAGAGGTTAGGGATGGAGGGGCTCGGTGAGAAGCTGAGCTGCCCTTGTACCTTTGGGCTCTGGACCCTCACAAGCTCCTCCTATGCACCCATGATGCACCACACTTTGCTGTCATCACCCCAAGGATTCCTGCTCTCAGGTAACAGTATCTAAGTTGTGGTTCATATCCCAGTTTGTTTAATTTCCCAGAATATCATTTAGTGTTCTTTGATTTGCTTCTTCAAAAAGGGACTCAGTGGAAATTGGGCTGGGTGTGTATCCCATTCCCTTTATCTCCAGTTCTCTCTTATTTACTATCCTTCTTGTCTCGACATTTTGGAATGATCCCACAAAAAAAAAAAATCCTTGATATTTTATAATCTGGTGTGGATTTTGTTTCATAGTGATTAGACCCAGTGTAGCATAAAATCTCTGGGGGAAAAAAAGAAAAAAAACCTGGCTTTTGGCATCACAGGTTTCTCTGCTGTCACTTAACCAGGGTCTGCAGACAGGAGAAATGCTGGACATAGGCTGGAGGGTCCTCACAATGTCACACTGTGAGGAAACAGGAAGGAATAGGGGAGAGAAGTCTGTGAGATAGGAGAGATGGCCAGCCAAATGGAGAAATTGCAAAGAAAAGTATACAGACACTCTTCTATACACGTTTCTTATAGGGAAGAATGGCAAATGTGTGCTTATATTGCTTAATTTCTGAAAAAAAAAAGGACAAGTAAGACAATGGAAGCTTAAAATTGATTAATGAGGACAGGGATAGAAGGTTAGAAAATGTAGATTGAGGCTGTGATCCGTTTAAGAATTCCCTGGGGTAAGGTTTTACCTTTCAATCTGCAGGTATTTTCCACAGTTAAAATACAACCATTGGATGTGTAACAATAGCAAATGCTGTCACCAATATGGAGAAAGGGGGAACTCGGTGCCTTATTACTGAAGAATAAAAATGGTGCAGATGTTTTAGAAAACAGCAAAGAGGTTTATGGAAAAATAAATAAGTAAATGTGCCTACCATACAAGCCAGCAGCAATTGTCATGGGTGTACGACTGAAGTAAATGAATGTATGTCTTCTGGGATGTCAGCACCCACGGTCCCTGAATCTCT